AAAGGCCCTGAGGTCAGAACTGAAAATCTGGGTGGTGTGATGGGAGGTAGTGGAGAACAGGAGAGTAGACTGGGTAACCTTGGAAATGTGGGGAGACGGACTTCCCGTTAAGGTGCTCAGTCTTTCTGTCCAAGAAAAGCCTTAGGAGATTTTTAATCAGTGCAGTGACACCCTCGGGCCTGCCCTCCTGACAGCAACCCTCTTGAGGTGGAAGATGCTGTGCAAGTTGAAACCCAGAGCCTGGGTCTCAGCAGGAAACCATCCTACAGAGGCAAGGTTTGGCACTTTACGAAACCCAAAATAATAATATGTCTTCCTCACCCCAAACGCCAAGCCAATTATGACACGTGATGACAGAGCAATCTGCATACATGGCAAGATTATCACTAGGGCTCACTCACTGTTAGACTCAGAGCCACGTCAGTCACTGGAAACACCTGTTCGGGTCACACAGTGGGGACTTCCCAGAGGCCCTTGGCTTCTTTTTTCGGCTTCTGGGTGACTCAGCCTGTGACGCTTGCTCCTCCTAGAATCTTCACATTGCCTTCCTCAGATCCCAAGGTGTCCTGCGCCGCCAGAGCCCATGTGTGGCTGCAGCTGCCCTCATGTTTGGGACAGTGTCTCCCTTCTGCTCATTCCTACCTCACACACGGGACTCTGGCAGGACTGACTGAGGGCAGAGCACGGGGCTTTGACGGGGGACATCTGGTCACCTTTGTGAAGTCAGGCCATCTCCCCCAAGGTGGATGCTGCTCAAGGTAGACACTGGAGTTATTAAGAAAAGGCTTTGAGGGCCGGGGATTTAGCTCAGTGGTTTCACCGCCTGCTGCAAAGGCACAAGGAACTGAGTTTAATCCCCGGTACCAAAAAAAAAAGAAGAAGAAGAAGAAGAAAAGGCTTTGATGGAAAATGAATGTGGGGGAGCTTTTTAGGTTACAGGACTGCTGGGAACACTTGGTTTGCTAACGTGCATTCTAAGTCTCCTGGACAGTGACACTTATTGGTCTTTTGATCCAGGAGCTTCTTGCAGACCAGTATGTAACAGGAAATGTTGCCACATCATTAAGTGGCAGAAGCAAGACTCAGCAGATGGTCGGAGAGGGTCAGGCTCGGCATTAGGCCCCTGGGAGGGACAGTCTGGAGGCTCCTGCTCCCAGCATCAGGGCCCAGCTGAGGGCGAGACAGGGCAGCAGGTCGGGGTCCTGCTGCTCCCCAGGCCCCTGCACCCTGCACCTTCCTGGGTAGAGGCTCCCGATTCATTTCACACAGAGACAGCAAACATGTTTGTGCAGGTGGTGTTGTGGCTGCTTCCAAGAACAAAAGGCTTTAGACCTTTATTTTTCCTCTTCAATTACCAAGAAGTACATGTTTTGTGGGAAAAAATCAATACCAAGCGCATAGGATCAAAAGTGCACGTTCCCTGCATTGATGTCCCTGCAGCCCCTCTTCAGGCTGCAGGGGTCCAGGAAGTAAGAGGCAGGTCTGGGGCAGAGGGACTGGGTTGCGATCCTCACTCAGGGTCATGCTGGCTTTGCATCCTCGGGCTCAGGCCTTGCAGTAAAGACTTGCACCAGTACTGAGCAAGATGGACACAGAAAGCCTTCAGCCCAGCACTTACAACTAATTGGAGTCAGTTAAATTTGACTTGGGTTTTCTTCTAGGACCCAAACACTTTTTGGTTTTTTTAAGACATGAGCTTGCTATGTAGCCTTGTCTGGTCTCAAACTCACCGTCCTCCTCAGCCTCTTGGAAGCTGGTATCACAGGCATGCACCACCATCCCTAGCCCAGGCACTTAAAAAAATAAGTTGAATTTCATGCAATGAATGTACTAAGTATAGAGCGGGGCCCATTTGTGTGAATTTTTTTAAGTCCTCCAGTGCAGTTTCTGTATGTAGAAACCACTATTTAGCAGTTACTTCTTCAAATTAATATTCAAATTATCAAAGTTAAAAAATTTGTTTTTGGTACCGGGGATCGAACTCGGGTCCTTCCGCTTGCCCAGCAGCCGGGGAAACCACTGAGCTAAATCCCTGGCCCAAAGTTAAAAAATTTTTAAAAATGATTAGTTGACTCTCTTTACCCTAAATGTTAGCTTATGTTTGGTGCTAGGAACTAAATCTTTACCAGGACTCTTAGAAAATGCCACACTTTTCAAGTTCAGCTTACAAAAGTTCTTGTTCTTCTATAAGCTTAGTTAGGATATCCAGATAAAATACAGACTACCCAGTTAAATTTAGATTATCTAAAGTTCATAGCTATCTACTGTTCTGTGTTTTCATTTGGTAAATCTAGCAAGCCTAAATCCAGCATAATTTAAATAATTAATTTTAAGGAGTTTTGAACCTATTTAAAAACATTTTAAACTTTTTTTTTACAAATTTAATACCCTACTTCCTTTGTAAAGTTTTGTTTTACTAAATACTTCTAAGGTTAATAAATTAATCTTACAAAACACTGCTAACCCAAGGTCCTTAAAAATGTTTGAGAACTAGATGTTCACTTGGTTGAACTTTAAGTTATGACTCCAAGTCCACTGAGCCACCTAATTGCACATTTTTGGTTGCAGTTATGAGACTGTTAGCCTAACCTGCCAAAAATCTCTCAGGTGTACAAGTTTCTAAAATACCATACATGTGTAGATTCCATCTTTAAATACAATTTTTTTTCTTTTTACTTTGGTTGAGTCTCCTAAGTATTTCTACACTTAGTTCTAAATCCTCCTTTGCTTGGAAACTGCCCATCCAACAAGGGAGACTGTTACCAAGAGGTACTTTTTACTTCAGACTCAACCAGGTCTAAGTCTGGGGTTGCAGATGACAGCGAGATTCATCTTTCCCTCCATGAGCTCAGGAAACCATTCTTTTCCCACATGCACTATTTAGAGTTATCTCTTGGAATTCCTGGGCATGACTGGCCAGGATGCTGACTAATACATGTTGGCGATACAGGTGCACTTTGCCCTGGGGCTGCAGACACAGGCCCATTGCTACACAGGGCATAGTCCTGAGACCTCAATGCTCACTGCAAGCGGTTCCTATTCACAACCTTCGTCTCACAGAAGAATTGTCCTTCCCGATACATTATTAGCTTCCTACTAGCTTTGCCAGAGAGAACACCTCTGACGTGTGGGTCATCATATGAGCTACCTGGGTTATTTCCCAGGGACCTGAAGACCACCTTTGCTACAAACCCAGACCTTTCACCTACTTCGTGTGAGCTTACAGAAATGTGATCAGTGCTAAAATGGGATAAAGGGCTTAATGTCACTGTCTTCGTATTGTGTGTGTTCCCTTTGATTTCTTAACTCCTGGGTCAGATTATGCTCAGCTCTGCAGGTAAGCATGTTGATAAGTTAAAAATGTTTAGTCCAAGATTATATTATGGGGTTCACTTGGCCTATTATCCTTGGGAGCAGGTGTTTCCTTTTTCTTTCTCTCTTTCTTCTTTCCTGCCCCTACCCTGTGCTTCTTCAGAGCCACGAAAGCCCAGGTGAAATTCTTTGGTTCTAGCATAATGATTCAGGGCAAACCAGACTGCTGTCTCACAAAGCCAGAGAATAAAATTGTAGGCAAAAAGAAGGTAATGAAGGAGGGGTGTTCATTGGAAACATAAAGGGAGAAAGCTTCCAGTAACGGGGGGGGGGGCTGAAATTTGGGTGCCATGTGGGTTCCTTGTCCAGAATCTTTTATGGATCAGCAGATCCATATACCCAGCACCCAGTGGTCACTCATTATAGGTGACCTTGTGGGCTCTAAACCACCAATTGCAACTCAAGTGGGTTTTTTTTGGTACCGGGGATCCAACTCGGGTCCTTGCGTTTGCGCAGCAGGTGGCAAAACCACTGAGCTAAATCCCCGGCCCAACTCAAGTTTTTTTAATGGAGAGTTCAAAAGAGAAACCATTTATTCCGTGTTCCCAAATTCCTGGAAACCAGCCCACAGCCTGAGGTAGAGAGGGACTGCTACCTGGTACATTCAGCCTGAGGAGTTTCTTTCCTGAGCGTTAGTCCTTAACCGCCTGCCTGTCCTTATCTTAACTCTATCATATTTCCTGTGTTTACTTTTACATTTCTAAACTTAACTATCTTTATGACTTAAATTAGCTCTTAACACACTGTTTTCTTTATAATGCATCTTAGGCCCTGTCCCTTGCTAGTTGCTTATTCATAAGCAAAATAGCTAAACTGCCTCTTATAATAGGACTCAGACCCCAAAGGCCAGGATGTTTTGCACAGTTCTATGGTGCCAGACACAGAAAAATTCAACGACCTCTAGGACAGGTTGGTTGTAAACACCTAGTTGTCCAAGCCCATCACAAGAGGAAACATCTTTTGGAAGCATGCCCTTGACCAGTGGAAATTAGCAGACTTTAGCCACCCTAGGAATCAATAATCAATTTCTTACGAGAGTAGCAGCTTGGACACTTTCCTGGCCAATCCCTGGTTCCCTCAGCCAGTGCCTCAGTTCAGGGAGCCCCCACCCCAATAAAGCTTCGCCTATAGAGGAAGGCCTTCCAGTATTGCAAGGACACCTTAGTCATCATTCTAGCAGATCAGCAATCGTTGCCCCCCTGCGCCCCAACACACTGCTGGTGTTTGGTGTGTTAAATTATGAACAGTAAAACTGCCTAGGAAACCATGTAACTCAAACTAAACTTGAACTTAATTTGCACCCGTTAGGGTGGTTAGAGGATGACTGCTAGGGTGTGCCCAGGGACAGCTGGCCACAAAATCCCAGCGATTTAGGGAAACCTGGCAGGATTTTCCACTGACCCCCAAGCCTCATGATCCCCCCCACAGAAGGCTCCACCACCCCTGGTGCCTCCTGGGTAGAGACACTCTCCTCCATCAAATGTCAGGAGAAGGCCGGCGTGTGCAACCACGGGAGAGATGGCCAGAGGTCAGAGCTGGGGACCTGAGCGACCTTTCGAGGATGGTGCCTAAATTAAGCATGCTAGCTTCCCTCCCGGGTGACAAAAACAGGGCTCCTAAAAGGCAAGCCCAGTATCTTCATTTCCTTAGGGATTGAAACCCATGATCTGCAGTTCCTCAGAGAAGTGAAAGTAGCAAGAGGAATCCAGTAATTCCTGTTATCTGCGAGCTTTATAAGTCAGCCAGGCGGGAGGTGGCAGGAGCCTGCACTTCAGTGCCACCTCTCACCTCGCCCAGAGCCTCAGGAGCACCAGGATGTCCCTGAGGCTGTCCTTCCTGCTGCTTCTGCTCCTCACCCTCCACGGTACCCTGGCCCTGAAACTCTGCTCCTTCAATGTGAGGTCCTTTGGGGAAAGCAAGAAGGAAAACCAAAACGCCATGGATGTCATTGTGAAGGTGAGCCCCGTTCGTACAGGAGGGACGCTGGACCCCCTCCTGCCCTCTCCCCTGACTCCACACTTTGGAAGACTCGGGAGGAATTTAACTAGTTTGCCTCCAGGTAAGGATGGAAGCCACAGTGATGAGAACAACAGCTACAATACCCACTTCACTGCCCGGGTGGGTGCCTGGCACCTCTGTCTTCCTCATGACAGTGCCTCCTTCAGGTGTGCTGTGAGGGCCACCTACGCACAGTTGTCAGGCAAGGTCCTCACATGGTACCTGGCTCATAGGAAATTCCAGGTAACACCGGCTGGCTGGTTTTTATGAGCACTTATTGAATGCCCGTGTCAGGCACTGTAAATACATGGCTTTATTTCATCATCATTGTGAGCACTATTAATCCCCACGCAGGGACGAGGAGCAGGGGGAAGTGCAGTTCCGCTGTGGAGCTGGTGGGTGGTCGGGAGCTGGGATGCAGCCCAGCGGAGTCTTCCTGACTGGCAATGAAGCGCTTCTCTTTCTCCCTGCCTCCCCTCTCCTTTCCTCCCCCTTCCTCCCTCCCTCCCTCCCTCGCACCCCGTCCCCTGTCCCCTTCTCTGTCACTGATCTCCTCCTCACTCGCAGCTCTGTTCTCTCAGCACAGACAGTACTGTTCTGGGCCAAGCTGACGATGTCTGGGGAAGCTGCTCACGTTTCTCTGGAGTCCGCTGACTCTGTCCTATAGGTTGATTTATTTTTGATGCTGGGAAATAACCTTTCCCAGGACTCTAGTGGGTGGTTATTACCTTAGAAGACTCCAGAAGTGTGGCGGGAATGCCAAGAGCCCTGGGTTCAGATCCCACCCATGGGCTGCCAGAGCTCAAGGATCCCTTTACCTCCCTGAGGACCCAGACCTCCCTGTAAGATGTGGCCGCACCTGGCACAGGTGAGCAAGGCCCAGCAGAGCCTGTCCCAGGACAGGGGTGGTGCCTGAGTTATCGGCAGGTAGAGGCGATTCCAGGAGGACTGGTCTTCTGCCTGAGCTGGTCTTCCACCCTGGGCGGCCTCCCTTGTGGATGGGACCCGAGGGCATCCAAATGTCGTTTACCCAGGGAAGCCATGCCAAGCCTGTGGGTGCTGTCACGCTGTGGCCCAGCGGAGAATCCTGAGATGCGAGGACACTGTTTCCCTGGTTCTTCTCAAGTGGCCAAGTGAAGCCAGAGCCTACCAAGTTCCCAGCGCTTTCTCACACGCCACCAGTCTTAGAGGCTATCTGTGGATCTGTGCTGGCTCCCTTCCTGCACACAGCATCTCCCCGAGCTGCCCTGCCCCACCACGTGTGTCTAAAGTCTTTGTCAAGGCCACCTCACCTCCCCATCACCACAAACATCCTGCCAACAGAGCACTGCCAGAGTCACTTAATAGGCAGTGACCGTTAACTCTGAGTGCCAGGTGTTCAAAATAGTGTTTCCAGGACCCACTGATTGAGTACCAACCAGGTGCTCAGGCCAGGACTCTTACATTCTCATTTACTATTACAACATAGGTGGAATTTCCCCTACTTTATAACTGAGAAAACTGAGGCTCAGAGGGCATAGTGACTTCTCCAGGTTTCCATAGTTGGTAAGAGAAAGAGTCAGGATTAAACCCAACCATATAACTGCCCGTGTGAGCTGGGATACCACTTCTGCTCTTCCATACTGAATTTATCGCTTTGAGATCAACTCAACACATCACATCAAGGTCATTCTGAACCTCACTGGGGAGGCTGGAGAGAGAGGAAGGGTGCCTTCTGCATCTGGGTTTGCCCTCCCCTGCCCTAGACGGTGGTTCCGATATCCAGCCCTGCCTGGGTAGGCCTCATTCTGTCTGTGTTCTTCAGTTTGTGTCCTTATAAGCAGAGCTTATTCAACCAACAGCTGCTCGCTAAGGGAGACCATGCACCAGGTGCCCCCCGGGGAAGGGGATGGGTGGAGGATGTGGGAGACCCCAGAGCTTCCAGCACAGCATTTCTGGAGCACTTACCCTGGACTGGGCCTTTAACAGAGTTCAGCCTCATGACCACTCTTCTATGAGGCAGTGGGACCCCAGAGAGGTGAGGCAAGTCGCCCAAGGCTGTGACGCCCATCTTCCCTAGTGTGCGATGCTGCCCCCTAGCTGGGGCATGGAATAGGGTTCATGAGCCACACATGGCCCAAGATACTTCTAGGCTGCTCCAGACTGTCCCTTCCCCTCTCCCCAGCCCACCTCGTGACGGATGCCGCCGGGCCGGCGGGGAGCCCTTTACACTAGCCTCTCCCACCTCCCTGTGAACTGCCGGAAGTTCGGCTTTCACAGGGACCTCAGTGTTTTGGGGCTGGGCTCTGGGTCGGCCACCCAGGGGCCTCATCCTCAGAGTTTTCTCCTGAGGAGACTGAGCCAGGACTTCTGGCCTGAATTTAGAGCAAGGGAGGTGTGTCGAGATTCCATTTGAAAACCGAATATTTAATGGCAATGAGAGAAACATACAGCATAATGTTAAGCAAGACTAAAACTATATGATAAATGTCGCCACTGTGTACTGAGCCCCTCTTCTGTGCAGTGGACTCATTTGAGCATTTTACACCCACCATGTCTTCTAATTCCTGTTATGATCCCATGGGGCCATAGAATTGCTCTTATTTTTCCCAGGTTACAGATAAGGGATCTAGGTGTTTCTTATGTGGCCTTCTCAAAGTCACACAGGTGGTCACATGGGGTCAAGATGTGAATGAACCCTAAGGCTATTTGACCTGAAGTCCATAGTTGGAACCAATGGGCTAGTCATTATGATGCCGGCTTTCTACGTAAGTACAGAAATCATATGGGAAGAGGTCTGAATGATGGGGTTATAGGTCGTGTGATACTTTTATAGTCTTTTCTGTCTTTTCTGAGTTTTCCAGATTCTCTACAATAGGCAACATTATTTTTTTTTTCTTTTCTTTCTCTTTTTTTTTGGAGTACCGGGCACCAAAATCAGGAGCTTGAGCTTTTGAGGCAGGCACCACGCCACTGAGCTAAATCCTCAGCCCAATAAGCAACATTATTTTTGCAATTAGAAAATTATAACAAGGGCTGGGGATTTAGCTCAGTGGCGAGGCACCTGCCTCAAAAGCTCAAGGTCCATGGGGCCAGGGATTTAGTTCAGTGGTTCTGCCACTTGCCTCTCAAGCAAAAGGACCCGAGTTCAATCCCTGGTACCAAAAAAAAAGCTCAAGGTCCTGAGTTCAATCCCTGGTACCAGAAAAGAAAAAAAAAATTGTAACAAAAACATATTTGTGGTGCTGGGAATTGAACCCAGGGCCTTACAAAGGCTAAATACGCTCTCTACCAGTGAGCTACACCCAACAAAAGTATTTTTAAAAGAAATGAATAGGAGAATTATTCCCTTTTTTCTTACAATGCCATAGGAAGAGTTAAAAAACAGGAAGATATTGCGCTTTGTGAATTTTGGCTCAGCTGGTTCCAAATGGTCTTTCTCTTCTGCTGGCTTCCTTTCTTCCACTCATCCCAGGAGCTCTGACAGAAGCTAGGGTTAAAGTTATGAGTCAAATCAGGCCTCGAGTGGGATCTGGCACACAGCGGCCTCTGACGAAATGTTGTTGGATGGATGAGCTAACGGATGATCACGTGGGTGGAGGGATAGTTTGATGGGCGGGAGGAGGCCAACTGGGTGCCCTCAGGAGAACTCAACAGTGGGATCTTGGGCCATCGGTCACTGCAGAGTAGATTCTTGTCTACAGGAAACATTCCCCAAAATATCAAGGAAGTGGAAGCAGGAGATGGGGTTCAGAAGTGCTTGCTAGGCGAGGAACAGGCTCATAAACAGGAAATCTGAGGACTGAACGTTCTCAGGATTGGAGTCTGACCTTGTGCTCCACATTTGCTCCGTAACAACGGGTCCCGCAAAAAAAGGGACGTTGGCCCTTGAGGAGGAGCAATCCCAAGGCTTTGCTGATCTCCTTGGGTGTTGAGGGCAGTGGTGCAGAGGGGCATAGAGCAGATGTCCCGTAACCATGTATCTCCTTGGTGTTCAGATTGCTAAAGCCAGTGAGACGCAGAGTAACCAGGGAGACAGCGAGGATACTAAGAGGTCCACACCTCAGGGAGCTGATGACAATCCGTGAGCCGGGATAAGTTGACTTTCTAGAAGTCCTCACTGGGTGCTAGGCCCTGTAGTCAGCACATTACATATGAAGACTCATTTAACTCATGCCAAGCAAGTTAGAAATGTGCCCATCATTTCCTAATAAATTCTGGCATCATCTCCATAATTCCTTCCAGGCAATTTCTTTTTTAAAGTTACACTTTCAAAAAAATTATACTTCAGGGCCAGGGATGTAGCTCACTGATTCTGCCACCTGTCTCAGAGGCACAAGGTCCTGAGTTTGCTCCCCGGTACAAAAAAAAAAAAATTATACTTCAATTTTTTAAGTATAAAGATACAAATTTAATGTATAATTATAAAATAATTTTATGAGATAAAAAATCATTATGGACTGTTTTTAAAATGTGAAAACATATAAGGAAGGAAAATAAGAATAGCTATTGGAACTGGGCAATTTTCTTAGGGAAATTTTTCTACTCCAAAATAAATATATAAGTCTGTATTTTTACAGCATGGTTACCTCCTTATTCCCCAGTTTTGTGTTCTGCTTTTATACTAGAAATATTTCCCGTGGTGGTACTATTATTCTAAAACATGACTTTTAATGCTACCTAGTGCCTAGTCCTTGCTTTGCAGCCCACAAACTTGAATGCTTTCCTGCATGGGGATACCCAGATTGTTTCCATTATTTTTCTTGCAATGCATCTTCCTGTTTGACCTGTACAAGTAATAACCATAATCAGTGCCCGCTGCATGGCTGGCACTGTTCGGTGCACCCACTTCATCTCCTGGCAACCCTTCAAGGGCTGGATCGCTACCAGGCCAACTTAAAGGTGATGACACTGAGGTGTAGAGAAGTGGTGGATGTTTCCTTAAATGGAAGGTGTTCTGCAAAATGGGAAAACTGATGAAGAGTGTATATATCTCAAGCTCCATTCCATAAGGGTCCTCCTGTCAACAATGACTATGTCAGCAAGCTGGCTGGACTGGGACGCTCCTTGGCGAGGCCAGCCTGGCTGATGCATGGATTTCATGCATGCCAGTGGACAGACCTCCAGCTGGGCCAGTTGCTTACAGCTGAGCCGCTGTGACAGGGGCACCTGGACAAGTGGGTGCTGGGGTCTCTCCCCACACCATCTGGAGGTGGAACTGGAGCACAAGCTTTGGAAGTAGAGGGCAGTGGCATAGTCCTCCTGCTCTGTGTCTTTGTCAGCCATGCATGAAGACAAAATTAACCTAGGGGAAGCTTTCTCCTTGACCAACAAATCCCATGGCTCGGGGTCACCAGGCTCCCATATCCAGAAGGGCCTGGTGGTCACCCAGGGACATGAGCTTGGTCTGCATCATGGCCACCCCGAAGGAGTCTCTCTTTTGTTCCTGTCTTGTTAAACTTCTGATCTCTCAGCACAAATGCTGCCTCCACTTGGGAGCCTTCCCTGACCCTCTGGGCAGAAGCAATTAATTATTTCCCAACTCTTCCATGGCTTGTGACTTTTTTTTAGCAGGAGTTTCATTTGCCTCACACTGTAGCTAGTAATTTTTATTTGCCTCGCTTGCTAGAGTCTGAGTTTTTGAGAGCAGGGACTGTGTTTTAACAGTTTAGCATGGTGGCCTTTGTAGTCACAGACCTGAGTTCAAACCCTGGCTCTCTGATTGATCTTTGTTGTGTGACTTTAAGGCAGTCACTCAACCACTCTGAGTTTGGTTTCCACCTAGGTTCAACAGGCTAATAATTATAGTCATGGAATAGGATTGTTGTGAAGCTCAGACTAAATTGACATAAATATTAGCTCTTATAATTATTATCATTATAATTATACCTTTTCATTTCTGCAGTATCCAGCTTGGGACTTTTACTTATTGATGACTTAGTAAATATTTATGACCACGACTGTAATTATGGAAGCAAAGCCATGACATAGGATGCACAGGGCATCGTGATCATGGACTTTGGACCTGGATCGCTTTGGTTCAAAATCTGCCTTGGCCATTTTCTAGCTGACTCATAGTGTAATTTTCTTGACTCTCTCTGAGCCTGTCTCCTCATCTTTAAAATGGAAATAAAAATTAATTAACTAATCAATTAATCAATTGCTGGGCATGGTGGCATATGCCCGTAGTCCAAGCTACTCCAGAGGCTGAGGCAGGAGAATTGCTTGAACCTGAGAGTTCAACACCAACCTGGGCACCATAGTGAGATCCCACCTCAAACACAGCAATAAAATGGATGTAACAGAAGTGGCTACCTTCTGGAGGCCTTCATTTAGTTCAGGGAAGAAAGTATTTCAACAAGCACCAATACAATACTCAAAACTCAGTAAGGGCCAGTGTCAGGTAGTCGAATTTACAGTAAATGGCCTCAGACCCCTGGGAATTCTCTCTACAGATCATCAAGCGCTGCGACCTCATCCTGCTGATGGAAATCAAGGACAGCTACAACAGGATCTGCCCCATGCTGATGGAGAAGCTGAACGGGTAAAGCGGGGGGGGGGGGGGGGGGGGGGGGGGCTGGGCCTTCTGAAAGCTCAAGGTCAAGTGCAAGGGAACTGAAACTAGCAGGAGAGCCAGCAAAGTATGCTGACCACCATGCCCCAGGGCCAGTGCTGACCAGGCCCCGCCCTCACTCACCATGGTCCTGGGAACTTTGAGCTGGCTGGTTTTAATGAGATAAAGTAAAAATAGGGGAAACAAGTGAGGAGTTGGGATTGAGAGAGAAATGAAAGCAGCAGACAAGAGGCTGAGCTAAGAAGTCCTGTTATAAAGAAAAAAATGAGCCGGGGCTTTAGCTCAGTGGTGCCACCGCCTGCCTTGCAAACACAAGGTCCCAAGTTCAATCTCTACTACCAAAAAAAAAAAAAAGAATGAATGTCAACAATAGAAAAAGAGTCAATAAAATTATGACAGGCTCACAAGCTGGAATATTATTCAGCTGTTAAAAACCCTGTCTGCTGCAGAATAAGTTACAGTTCTGAACCTGCTATTTTCAATACACTGTGGCCATCTTTCCATGCTAGAATATTTAGCTGTAAGTAGAGCAGCCCGTTATGTTACCTTTTAAACAAATCAAGGTGGATTTGTGTTTGAGCACAGAAGAAAGACTGACAAGATGGGCCCAATCTGGTAATAGTGGTTATTTCTGGGGTGTGGCTGAAGAGTCATTGAGGAGCAAGTCAGCGAAAGAATGAAGGACATTTGTTTTTTATTTTAATAGTTCTATATGATTTGAATATTTTACAACCAATCCATTTTGATTTTATAATTTAAAAATAACAAACCCAAAAAGTCATATCCTTGAGTTGTTTTAGATGACACTGGATGTTTGTGACTTACGTTCCTTCTGATAATTAGTGAACCCACACTGTTAGTCAGCTCTCCATCACTGTGACAAAAGACCCAAGATTAACAATGTATACGGAGGAAAGGTTTATCTGGGCTTATAGTTTTGGAGGGTACAGCCTGTGGGTAGGAGGCCATGTTGCTTTGGAGCCTGAGCTGGGGCAGAACATCATGGTAGGGGCATTAGCGGGGCCTCATGGTGGCTGGGAAGCAAAGAGAAAGAGAGAAGGGAGCAGCTGCCAATACTCCCTTCAAGGCAGGACCCCCGACCTAAATCCCTCCCACTAGGCCCCACCTCCAATGGCGCCACTTCCCAGTGACCCAGCCTTCAACACCCAGCCTTCGGGAGACACCTCTCCCAGCCACAGCACCCCCAACTCAAGTCGCCCTAGAGTGAGCTAAAACCACATGCGATGCGTCCTTCCCTGAGTAGGAATATCTGTGGGAGGGAAACTGGTGCTTTGTCTTTTTGTTTTGTTTTTGTGGTACTGGGGATTGAACTCAAGCCTTCTTACCGTAGCTCTTTTTTATGTCGAGACAAGGTCTTGCTAAGTTGCCCAGGCGGGCTAGAACTTGCAGTCCTCCTGCCTCAGGCTCACAGAGCACTGGGTGAGAATTACAATTTTTGAACAAGCTTCCCTGGTGACTCTGATGTGCCTTTTCTTTCTTTCTTTCTTTCTTTCTTTCTTTCTTTCTTTCTTTCTTTTCTTTTCTTTTCTTTCTGCCTTCCTTCCTTCCTTCCTTCCTTCCTATTTTGTGTGGTGCTGGTGATTAAACACAGCCTTATGCATGTTAAGGAAGTACTCTACCACTAAGCTACACCCCCAACCTGATACGTCTTACATTTTAAAAACCTCTAATATAAGGGGTTTTTGTAGATAATTATAAGATTAAGCAACAACCATAATACACAATATGAACCATGTTCACTTAATTATGTTTTAAAAAATGTAAGAGTCAAGGAAAATAATGCACTAATGTTGGCCGGGACTGCCTTGGAGTACAAATTTACAAAGAATGTAAGAGTAATTTGTTTTTCTGTACTTTGCAATGAGAATGTTACATCCCATATTTTTCTTATGAAATATCTCAAACATACTAAAAAGTGCAGAGATATTCTAATCAACAGCTGTGCATCCACCACCCGGCTTTTACAAACAGTGACATCTGGCCATTACGAGGCTCTGACAGGCAGGAAAACTCATGTTGTTTCTTAGCAATGAAAGGTCAATTGGGACGCATGAGCCCGGGGAGGGTGCTAGGAATCCTCCCCTGCACACACAGGGCCTCCTGGGCCTGTCTCGCCCTCCCCTGGGCTGGCTCGGCTGGGTGTATGGCTGTTAGCCCCAGCCTGGCTTGTTCCCGGATCTGATCTTTGAAAGATGGAGAGGCAGGGAGTGTAGCTTTGGGATTAGGAGCCTGTGCTCAGCTACGATCACCTGACCTTGGACAACTTACTGAACTTCTGTGCTTTGTTTTCCCCATGTGTACCTGGGGCTGATATGGAAACTATCTTCCCGGGATGCCATGATAACTAAATTAACTCCTGCGCTTAAGTAGCTGGACAGTGCCTGCTGTGTAGCTATGGTCAGTAAGTGCTGCTGACGTCTATGACTGCTACAAGGAAGGAATCACAGTGGCAGGTGATGGCCCAGGGGCCGTGTGCAACTCTATCACTGGCTCCGGCATCCCTGGCTTGGCATCCTGCTGATCAGGTTCTAGGGGCCGTGTCATTACTCCCCACAAAGCCTGGAGGGGTGGGTACTGTCCTGCTTCCCTTACAACCACAGGAGGTTAGACGTCGGAGAGCCCAGCTTCCTGCAGGGAAAGCCAGTAGATGCTATAGGCCTCTCCTGGGCTCCCCGGGGCTGTCTTTGGCTTAGGGCATGTATTTGAAGTCTCAGGAATTTCTATAGTCTAAATTACCCTCTAAATACCCACTCTGCCCTTATCTAATGACCCTGAAACTCTGCGACAGCTTTAGCCATGCCGTGGGTAGGTGGAGTAAAACTGTGTCAGGCTCGGGCTGTGCCTGGAGTGGAGTGATCAGCATTGGCAAATGGACAGAGTCAAGATAGCATGGGGTAGGGCCGGGGATTTAGCTCCGTGGTTCCACCGCCTACCTCGCAAGTGCAAGGACCCAAGTTCGATGCCTGGTACCAACAAAACAAAACAAAACAAAACGAAAAGATAGCATGGGGTAGGTGAGGGGTCAGGCAGGGATTTGCCATCATCAGCCTGGGACTTGGGAGAAAGTGCCTGGGAGTTTCAGAGGCAAACATTTCTGCCTTTGATGAATGCTCAGGAGCTGCGCATGGACAGGGGCCTGATGAAATCAGCTCCACCAGAAAGGAGGAGCCACAGCTCAATGGGCCCAAAGCAGGATTTCTGATTCTGCCTAAATAGTCCATGGGCTCAGTGGTTCCCGTAGGTGCAGGCCAAAGCTTGTGGGTTTGGGGATGACTCGGATCTGGGTTCAATCCCAGCTTTGTCCTTTTAAACTATGAAAGGAGGTAACAATAGTACCTTCCTTTTTAGGACAAGAAATAAGGGTTAGGGATGCAGTTTAGTGGTAGAATGCTTGCCTAGCAAATGTGAGGCCCTGGGTTCAATCCCCAGCAATGAAAAAAAAAAAAAGCCAGGTATGGTGGGGCACACCTGTAATCCCAGCACTCTGAGAGTCTGAGGCAGGAGGATCACAAATTCATGCATAGCCTAAGCAACTTAGTGGCTCCCTGTTTCAAAATAAAAAAGATTAGGGGTATAGCTCAGTGTGAAGGGCCTAAATTCAATACTCAGAACTGAGAGAGGGACAGGGAGGGAAGAAGAAGAAAAGGAGGAGGAAGAGAAGAGAGGGAAAGAGGGAGGAAGAAAGGAAGGAAGGAAGGCTATAAGGATCTGGCAGATGTTTCTCATCAAACTCAAAAGTTGTGCAGTAGCTCATTCTTGTAATCTCAAGTGATCCTCCGAGTTCTAGGCCAGCTACATAGTGAGGACTACATAGTAAGACTCTGTCTCAAAAAATAATAATAAATTATGAATAGTAGCCCTTCCACTTGATGTCATTAGTAATACGGAGACAGATTAGAGAACGGGCTACATGCAGCAGGGAGATGTTTGTTCTTTAAGATGCAATGTGAAATCTTCTTGTTTTCTAGAAATTCAAGGAGAGGAACAACATACAACTATGTGATTAGCTCTCGGCTTGGACGAAACACATATAAAGAACAGTATGCCTTTCTCTACAAGTAAGTATATTCTCTGCTCTTCGAAACATGGTCCACTTAAGGATGCGACCATGAATTGAATCAAAGTGTATATGTTCTTCAAAACCAGATTTTTCTCTCTAACCAGTTGTCGGGATCCAGCAAAATAATTGCTGCTGAAACTCGGGCCGATGCAAATCATGAAATCTTGAGACTGGGAAGCATGAACAGCTTCCTAACCCTTTGCTGGTTGTTGGGGTGGAGGGATGCCAAGGTCAGGCCTTCTGTACTCTTCACGGTCAAGCCTGGCCCTGACTTGTCCTGCACAACCCACTCCTGAGCTCTGTAATCTCATTGCCTTGGTACTAGTGACTTACGAATAAGTCTGAACAGTTACCTTCGGGTGCCCCAAATGAGTACCGCTCAGATCCTTGGTCCAGAGGACCTGAGACAGAGCTGCCTCAGTCTTGTCCTCGGGAAAAGATCTTTCTACTCGCTGTGGAAGCTAACAAAGCTATGGGAACCCACTCTATTTCTTCAAAGAAGTAAGAAGGGCTTCTTCCCTTTTTCTCTTCTAGGGAAAAGCTGGTGACAGTGAAGGAAAACTACCTCTACCATGACTTCCAGGATGGAGACACAGATGTGTTTTCCAGGGAGCCCTATGTGGTCTGGTTCCAGTCACCCCACACTGGTGAGAACCACCAGCTCCCCTTGTCTGTGGCCTCCCTAGGGGCCCACGAGTAGGCGATCGATGTGGGTGAGCAGCGCCCCTGGAGGTTAAGGAAGACGCTGGGCTCCGAAGAGCAAGTGCTGCTCCTGACCTTTGATAGGGGACCGTGCAATGCAGCTGGATGGCCCCAGGCTCACTTCTCAGCCTGCCCAGACACCCAACAACCCAGCAACCCACCTCTGGGATCAGGGTAACTCCACTCTTTTTGGAGGGTTTAGGCTCATGGAAATGATTTACTGTAAGCACTTGATCCCTATCCAGTTCCTTAACTTTTGAAAGATTCAAGTGAAGACCACCAATCGTGATGGGCAGCAAGGGTCTTGCTGTAGATACCAGCAGTCTCCTCCACAGAGGAGGAGAAGGAAACCCAAGCCATCCACACCCTACATTAATCCTTCACCAAGCGCTGGCACCTTGTAGTCCTTGCAACACACTTTGAGGCAGAGGCCAGGATTATCCTCTCTTTACATTTGAGGAAACTGAGGTTCAGAAAGGTGCAGTCACTTGTCCAAGTCACCCAGGTAATGAAATGGATAAGCCAGGATCATAACCTAAGGCGCCATCTCAACCACCACCTACACCCGAGGGAAAGTCAAGAGGTAAATGTGGTTTGCAGATTGCAGCCACATGGAATCCAAAATGATTTTTCTCAGTGCCTACTATTTTCCAGGCTCTTTTGAGGGCACCGAGAGGACAGATGAGGCTCCTAACCTGGTGAAGTTATACTGGAGTAGAGCAGACAGACAATGGCTAGATCAATCCCTGCTGGGCGGGTGTGGAGCTCAGCGGTAGAGCACATACTTAGCATGCACCAGGGCCTAGGTTCAATCCCCAGCACCAAATAAACACATGAGTATATGCAAGGTTACAAGTGTGTACACCTGTCTCTATTCTATCCAGTAGTACCTTGGTTCATGAATTTAATTCTTTCCACGATTCTGGTCACAGACCAAATTGGATGAGAACCGAATCAAATTCAATGGTTAGGTTCAATGTTGATCTTATGAGGAAATTTGATTTGGTTCTCATCCAGTTCGGTTTTCGACCAGAATTGTGGAGAGAATTAAGTTTGTGAGTCAAGGTAGCACCGAACCAGCCTAAGCTTCCGGAATTATAAATTCCTGCCCATAGTTAATTAGCTCAGGGGGAAGAGCATTGCAAGAGGAGTTGGAGGGGGGAGAAAAGCCCTTCAGAGAGTATGAGCAATAATCCTCTTTGTCATGCACATACGTGACGTTATTCTGGCCAAGAAGAGTGGTCCTGCCCCCAAATAATTATTCCTTCTCAAAGAGAGTGGCAAGCCTTTGTGAATTCCTAAACAAACCTGTTTGTTCTGAGCTCCTGGCCTTCCCGTCACTGCCCCTCCCCTCTCCCCTGGGATAGCACTGCCCGTTTGGAGCTTTCCCTCCTCTACCAAGAAACCTCCCATATTCCCTTGACCAGAGATTACGTTCGCTGTTTTATTCACCCATTGATCCATGTGTTCAGTCAACAAACCCTTTTGAGCACCTGCAGTGTGCATTGACCCAGGTGCACTATTTCATTAAAAGACACTAATAAGAAAGTGAAAACACAAGTGGAAAAAGATATTTGCAACTTATACTAACAAAGGGCTCATGTCAAGAATCTATAAAGAATCCCAGCACTCTGGGAGGCTGGGACAGGAGATGCACAAATTCGAGCCCCATGCAATGTATAGGGCACTATGCTAGGTTCTGGAGCCAGGACGGTGAGGGGTCACTGAGATCAAGGTCCAGTAGACCACACGCAGAAGCAAAGGAAGTGACCGGAGCACGCAGGAAGCACCAGTGGCGTGCACTAAACAGCGGAGCCAGGGGTTCACCTTGGGTGGGGTGACCAGGGGTGGCCCCTTGGAGGTGGCATGGCCTGTGACCTAAGGAAGCCGCCATACAGGGCTGGGAAGGGGATGCAGGGCAGCGAGGAGAGGGCGCAGAAACTCAGAGGGTGGGGGTATGCGGGGGGGTGGGCAAGCTGCAGAGTGAGGCTGAGGCAGGAGGAGGAGAGCGGATAGGTTAGAGCCTGAGCCAGTTGGACGGGCGGCCCGAGGGACATGGCTGGTACTTCCGTGCAGGAGAGCTCACTTCCTCACGCGGCCCCGGCGGGAGCCCGACAGGAGTGTGTGACTTCTGACGCTTCCGTGTTCCTCAGCCGTCAAGGACTTCGTGATCGTCCCCCTGCACACCACGCCCGAGACCTCCGTGAGAGAGATCGACGAGCTGGCGGATGTCTACACGGACGTGCGGCGCCGGTGGAAGGCAGAGGTGAGTCCTGTGCTTGTCACTGAGCGGAGGCAGAAGCTGGTCCCTGACCCCAAGTGGAAGACGAGGAGCAGGACACATGCACCGCCACCGCCCGGGCCTCGCCTGGCGCTCTCTCAGCCTCCTCAGCCCTCTTGCTGACTGCCTGGGCCCGTCCGTGTGGGTCTGGGGAGCCCTACTCTGCAGCACTTAGGACGATGCCAGCACCTCAGAGTGACTGGCGGTCATGGCGAGTATATTTCAGCCCTCTGAGAATCCCACAAGGTAAGCACCTTGCAACTGAGAAGAGCGAGGCACAGAGAGGTCAGGAGTGTTTCAGGGCAAGTGACAGGCTCGCAAACTGGCTCGTGAAAAGGAGGACCAACTGATGCCTGCCACCCCGGCCGCCTGGGCTCCTCATCTGGAAGGCAGGGCGCTAGCACCTGTGGCCACCAGGTCTGTGAAAGCCCTCGGCACAGCACACCCGGAGGGCTGGGGTGGGGGGCACTTCCTTTGGAATGTGACTCCTGGATCCCCGAATCCTTCTCAGTAAAGGGTGAACTCTTGTCCCATAGTTGGGGCAAGAGAAGGACTTGTTCATTCATTCCAAAAAGTATGAAATCATTCACTCATTCAAGAATGCACTGGGCTGGGGATTTAGCTCAGTGGTTCCACCACCTCCCTCACAAGCGAAAGGACCCGAGTTCGATCCCTGGTACCAAAAAAAAAAAAAACAGATATGAAGGGCCGGGGATTTAGCTCAGTGGTTCTGGCACTTGCCTCAAAGCACAAGTTCCCAAGTTCAATCCCCGGTACCAAAAAAAAAAAAAAAAAAATGCACTGAGCTTCTATTGGGCATCAGTCCCTGGGGAGGTGCCAGTGACCCAACGGTGAGCAGAGGGGAAATTCTTGTGATGAGGGATCTCTAGACTTGGGTTCCATTCTTGACTTCACTGCTTGAACCACCCAGTTGCGTGGCCTAGAGGAGGTAATGCCCAGTTAATGGTTAATGGTGCTTTCTACCTTCTAGTGTTTACTGTTGTGAGATGCAGTTTACACTCTATCAACCCTGTCCTGTGCTGACCTGGCCCTTAGTGGTTGCTCAGCATATCAGGCTATCTTAATGGAAGCTGGATGGTCACCCAGGGCAGACATCCTGGCTCAACTGTCCCCATCAATCCCAGAGAAAGCCGTGAACACTCAGGTCAGGATGACATGTTCTTGAAGAACATTCTGGAGCCAGCAACCACCCCCAAACAATAGCACAAACAAGGAAATCTGACACTTCCTCTGCTTTGGGAATGTTACATTCTGTTCCAGGAGCCCTGCAGGGAAAAATACATCCAAAATAGCAAATTTCTGTTGGTGGTCTGGGGTGGGGATAGACATGTACCCTATGGCCCCTGCCCTTACCGCTCCACCCACTGCCCCCAAGGACTCTGTTCCCACAGTTTCCAACCTCAAAACAATAGGAGCGGGAGACTGGTGCCAAAGCTGTCAGGACCCCACCCAAGTACATTTTTCCTGCTTGGAAACAAAGGTGTTGATTCATCCATATGTTTTGAGGCAGAGACAAAAAATGTGAGGGAATGTCTTGGCTGGATTCTTGTATTCCCACCTCCTCCTGCATGCTGGATTATAACGATGTGGTGACTAAGAACCTCGAAGAGTAAGAACACACTTATTTTACCCAGCGTGATTAGGAAGGGTTCCAGGCCAGGCTGGTGGGGCAGGCCTGCCATTGCAGCTCTCTGGGAGGCTGAGGCAGGACGAGTGAGAGTTCAGGCCTAGCCTGGGCAATTTAGCAACTTAGTGAGACCCTGTCTCAGAATAAGACATAAAAACGGGCAGGGGGTGTAGCTCAGTGTGAAGGCCCTGGGTTCAATCTCTAGCACAAAAACAAACAAATAAACAAACACCCTAACCAAACAAACAAAAAATGCTTTGTATTCACCTGCCAGAGAGTCTTCAAAGCTTGCATTCGGTTGTAAACTGTGGCCTCTTCTTGTAAAATTAATAAAATTAAGACAGACTCTAGTAGTTTGCCGGGGCTGCCATAGCAGCAAAGTGCCAAAGACTGGCTGGATTCAATGATACAAAGGTTTCTCGAAGTTTTGTGGGCCAGAAGTCCAAGATCAAAGTGTGTGAGCAGGGGGTTCCTCCTGGGCTTCCTCTCTCACTGGCTGGCAGCCGGTCACAGTCCCGCTCCCCCCCCCTTCTCTTTTTTCTTTTTTGAGACAGGGTCTTGAGGTCTTGCTGTGTAGCCCAGGGTGGCCTTAACATGTTCCTAGCAGCTTGTATCACCCAGTGTGACGGTCCCATGCTACCCAAAGGGACAGTCATGCATGTACCACTGGTGGTTCAAGCTGGCAGGAAGGTTACACATTCAAATCAGAGTTGCCCGGCAGCAAGACACACGAATCAGGAGCCTATCATGAATGTGTTAAACTCACTACCCTCCTGCCTCAGCTTCCTGAGTGGTGGGACCACCGGAGAACACCACTACACCCAGCTAGATGGTCATTTTCTTATTATATCCTCACTGTGATAATCTTTTTGTGCCTCTGTGTCCTAAACTCCCTTTTCTTTTTCCTTTTTTTGCTGTGGTGCTGGGGATAGAACCCGGGCCTGGTGTGTGCTTTGTCACTGAGAGCATCTGTTGCCTCTCCTGTTTTTATAAGGACCCCTGTCCTTATAAAAAGGACAGTTGGATTAGAGTCCACCCACCTGACGTCACTTTATCTTAATTTCCTTCTTCAAGACCCTATCTTCAAATACAGTCAAATTCTACGGTACAGGACTGGAGGCCAGGACCTCAACATATAAATTTGGGAGTGGGCACCATTCTGATAATAAAAGGCCCTTTTGTTTCCTGGGTGTGGGAGATGGAGACATTGCTGAGGTCCTGAGAGGAAACACTGTACTCCACCCCCCCAGGTGACAGTCCCCAAACATGTCTTTCAGAATTTCATTTTCATGGGTGACTTCAATGCCGGCTGCAGCTACGTCCCCAAGAAGGCCTGGAAGAACATTCGCTTGAGGTCCGACCCCAAGTTCATATGGCTGATTGCAGACAATGAGGACACCACAGTCAAGAAGAGTACCAGCTGTGCCTACGACAGGTAGGCGGCCTCTGCAGGCCTGCCGCAAACAGGGTCCTGGGGCGGGTGACGCTGGGCCGACTTGGAGGGCAGAGTCAGCTGCCTTTCAAGAGCCTGCATCAGGAACCTCCCAGTGTGGAACTGCCTGACCCTAGGTGGCAGCCCTGGGCACCAGAGCTTAGCAGTGGCGGGCACTGGCTCTGATGTCAAACAGGCCTAGATTCGAGTCCTGACTCTGCCACTTACTATGTCTCTGAACGAGAGACATATGCTCTCTGTGATCTCATTTTCTCGCTCCAAACTGGAAACTATACTACAGCCTCACTCTCAGAGATGTGACAAGGATTAAATGAGGTAATATATATGTTACGTGAGGTAACCTATAGAAAGCTGCTAGCACAATGAGTGTTTGGCAAGTGCTCAGTACATTCAGGGGCTGTTTCCTCTTCTCTCACAAGGACGTACCATTCCCATCACAGGGCATTCGATTACTGTCAGGGGTTTGCTGTTATAAACACTGTTGAAATGACCATCCGCTATGTGTATTTTGGGAAAATATTTATTATTTCCTCAGGGTACAACCAGAAAAATGAGAGCAGTAAATGCCAGGTTATTTACACTTTTAAAACTTCTACTACCCATTCCTAAATTCAAACCGTACATTTAAATAATAGCCTCTCCTTGTACTTTTAAAGTCTCATTAGGGGTTTCCAAACACTTTCGCTTTTGCTCCTTCAATCAGGAAGGAAGAGGTAAAAGTCAGCAGGACAGAGACCACAGTCAGAGAAACCCCTGGGAGCGAGTCCCTGGGTGGCCGCAGCTCAGAGCTCAGCCTGCTGTTGCAGAGAACAGCTGGCCTCCTTGCTGCTCCTCTGGCTTTCATTTCCATCCCCTGGCCTCCTTTGTTCCCCTCGGGACTTTCATAGCTGGAGTTTCCTCTGCAGATGTCATTGCTGTAGCTCTTGAAAGTGGAAGCCCAGGGTAGGAAGTTCGGGGAGGCCGAGCACCAGGCTTCCCCTCAGCCCCACTCTGAAGAGCCTCCAGTCACGCTAGCAACACCACTTGACCCTGGCACTTTCCCATTCTGGCATCTTGGGCAGGTAAAGTCCCCCTCCAGCCCCCTGTTCTCCCTGCAAACGAAGTGGGCCGGTGGAAAGGTGCCAGTGGCAAAACAGGTTAGGAACACATTTCTCTGGTTCTGTAGCCTTTGTATGCCACAGGATGGTGGGATTACACGAGACTTTCTAAAGAGTAGTTTCCTATGTTAATGCTCTAAATTTTCTGCATCCCACAACAACATGTATAGTTCCATGTATAATTACAAATGATGTTTTGAAAATGGACCTATACAAGATGGTCTCAATTCCAGTCCTTGTTCTGTGACCAGGTATTTGTTGAACATTTTCTTATGCCAAGCACTGGTGGACATGAACTTGACCCTGGCTTGTGCCCTGGCTCAGCCTGGAAAAATGTAACCTGAGAGCAGACCTATGCTTATAAAGTGGAAGAAGTCAGAAACTGAGCACCTTTAAATACATTGCTCTTTGCTCTCTGATTCCTTTTTTTTTTTTTTTGGCACTGAGGATCGAACTCAGGCCCTTGTGCTTGCACAGCAGGCATCAAAACCACTGAGCTAAATCCCCGGCCCCTAGCTCTCTGATTCTTAAAAAATGGCTTTCACAAGTTTCCAGCTTCATGTAAAGAGCTTACACTTGGGCTGAGTTTAAAAGGAACTGGGGTGTGGCTCAGTGGTACAGGCCTTGCTTAGCATGCTTGAGGCCCTAGGTTCAGCCCTCAGCACTGCAAAACAAAACAGCAACAACCACAAAGAAGCCATGTGGTGGTGTTAGCAAACTCAGAGTCAGCAAAACTCAGGACAGAGGCACAGAAAGGCAGTGTGCCCCCCCCTTGCATTCCTCAGACGCGTAGCCGGGACCACAAGGGGCCCACCTGGTTGATCCCTGAGGTACATTAGAGCCCGTTTCCAAAACTCAACAGGCTGCCGCTACCCAGGTGACGACATCACCACAAAGCATCTGTATGATGGTTTTCCTCTCTCTCTTTTTAAAAATCCACTAATTTCTCACTGAAGTAAATTAACTGTTAAAGGATGATACTACAGAAAAAAAAAAAGATGATACTAGAGGATGAAAACAGCATGACAGCCAGGGATGGCAGTGCACACTGCAGTCCCAGCACTCTGGGAGGCCAAGGCAGCAGGGGCACAAATTTCAGGCCAGGCTGGAGCATAGCCAGACCCTGTCTTGAAAAACCAAGCAAAACAAATAACTGTCATTTACCATACATGAAAGAAATTAAAAAGAAGCCCAGTGAAAACTGTCCAATTCGTCCTTATTTCTCTTGCCTGCTGGATGCATGGGGGGTGGAAGCTTGCTCTGTCTTTGTCAAAACGGGGGCTTAGGGAGGTACGAAAGATAAACACAGCATCTATCCGAGAATGTCCCATCATCTGTCAGGAAAGGGAGAAGCGTCCGAAGGGCAGCAACACTCCACTATGCATGTCGTTACTGCTCGATGTGGGGCTATGTGTCAGCTAACAGCTGCTCTCACGCCTCCGGGACACCTGCCCATGCTGTGCCACTGTCCTGTGCCCACGGGGCCATGGCAGGCACTGACACTCCTTGCGATTGTAAGAACTGTCCTCTGGGCTCTCCATGCAGAGCCGGGTGTGGACTTGGAGCCCATGTGAAGGGCTGGGTCTCCCCGTCACTTCCAGACATCAAACACAGGGGCCTTGGTTTGATTTCACAAATCAACAACTGTCTTTCCTCCCCTTGCTGCAGGATCGTACTTAGAGGACAAGAGATTGTCAGCTCTGTGGTTCCCAAGTCAAATGGTGTCTTTGACTTCCAGAAAGCTTACCAGCTGTCTGAAGAGGAGGTAAGGCTGCCATCTTGTCTTTCTGTGCCACCATCTTGGGAAGCTGAACTGCTGTACCCTCTGAGGTCACCACTGAAGACCTCACATTGGAGCACTGAACCTTGAGTCTCAGTAACTATAAACTGTGATCCTGACAAAATTTCTTTTTTTCTTTTCTTTTTTTTTTAGACAGTGTCTCACTATGTAGTCTAGGCTACCCTTAAACTTGCTATATGTAGCACAGGCTGGTCTCAAACCCACAATTCTCCTGCCTCAACCTCCAAAATGCTAGGATTACAGGGGTATACCATGACACTCGGCACCTGCCAAAATATCTGACCTAGTGGGCCCAAGAATGATGCCCCCCAGTCCTGCTGAGTGACCTGAGGCATTTCATCTTCCCTCCCTGGTCCTGAATTTGCTCGTCACTAAAATGATGGCACATCCCAGACATCTCCTAAACCCAGATTTACCTACCCTTCTCCTCACAGGCTCTGGAGGTCAGCGACCACTTTCCAGTTGAATTTAAACTACAGTCTGCAAGGGCCTTCAACACCAACAAAAAATCTGCTCTGAAGAAGAAAAAAAAAGCCAGTCGCTCCTAGACACGTGGATGCCATTTTACTAACCATCTCCTGCTGCTACCTAAAATGGCTCTAACAGGTAGGGCGCCTTGTACTCTCAGGAAAGAAAACTGGTCCAGCTGCTTTTATTTTCCACTGGAGTTAATGTTAGCTGCTTTAGCCAAACTGGAAGGAGAGTCTTCTGCACATAGCCCTTCCGGGCTGCTACCTGTGAACTGCCCGAAAGGAAACCTTGGCTTTCGAAGTCCAAAAGAGAAGGCTTTTGCGCCAGGAGCTGGAGCACCTGTCCACTGGCCTTCGTCCCCTACCAACCCTGTCACAGAAGAAACTGCAGGAGCTGGACAAATGTCAGCCTTCAGTCCTCACCAGATCTCACTCCCAGGAAACGAGCAGAAACACCAGGGCCTGACTGCCCCTTGTGTGGACAATTCACTGTTTTAACTTTGCCTCCTCTTCTGAGGCCAGGCCACCATCAGAAGAAGGCTCACACCAAAGAAGGATGAAGGGAAGGCCACTCCTGCTGGCCTGCCTGCCCCAAGTTGTCCTCCTCCAGCCAGTCAGCCCAGCAACCTGCAGTGTTGTCCTGTGACGCCCTGTTCTGGCCACTCCCACTTCACTGCCTGGATCCCTCAGGACTCTTCACCATGAATGTCTCCGTTGTCTGGCAGCTCACCTTGTCCTTGCAACCAGGACCCACCTCTCCCTGCCCCTCCTGCGTCCTCCCTCCCTTGGGGCCTTGGCTCCACCCCATTCTCTACTCTGTACCAGAGCCTGGACTAAGGGCCCCGTGTCCCAGTTTCTATGCCTGTGTTGCAGCACTGACCACATTGAATTTGTCACAGGGCTGGTATTAGAGGTCCTTGAAGGTTCTGATGTGACAAAGGCTCCACTGGCTGGCTGAGACTGAAGGATTTTGTTATTTTTCTGCCATTTCTATGCATCCAGCAACACAGCACCATTTTGCCTACAAACACTGCGCCCATTTTTACATGTTTTGCTGTTTTCCCTGATAGTGCTTCTCTGCCCAAGCAGTACATGAGCATGGCTTAAATGTACACACCATACTGAAGAAGCAGCAGCAAAAAAGAATGCCACACCCTGACCCATCCTCAAGTTTCCTGTCCCAGAAAGAGCCCCTCTACCAGAGAAAGCCTGTGCATAAATGAGCACCATAGGTAACCTTGAGAAATACAAAGCGAGGCATACCATGTGCATGATTCTGCTTCTTGCTATTTTTCCCTTAATACCTCAGGGACAGTGTGACTGTGGCATAAGAAAAAGAGATCATAGGGCCGGAGATTTAGCTTAGTGGTGCTGCGCCTGCCTCTCAAGTACAAGGTCCTGAGTTTGATCCCTGGTATTGGAAAAAAAGAAAGAAAGAAAAAGAGACCATGAAGCATTAGTCAGCTTTCTCTTGCTGTGACAAATAACCTGAGGTAAGTCAACTTAAAAGGAAGAACAGCTCATTTTGGTTCAGTTTCAGAGGTTGCAGCCCCTGGCAAACTGGCTCCATTGCTTTGGGCCCTGTGGCCATGAAGACAGCATAGTCACAGTGGAGAGCTAGAGCTAGAGCAAAGCCATTCGCCTCATGGTGGCCAGGAAGCAAAGAGAGACCGGAAGGTGCAGGGTCTCAGCCACTCTTGGAGGGTACAGCCCCTGACGACCGGAACTTCCTCCAGTTAGGCTCCACCTCTTAAAGGTCCCACTGCCTCCTAATAGCACTACGAGCTGTTGGAGGACACTCCAGATCCCAACTCTAGCAGCCTGATATCTGAAATTATGTAACATCTGACCAAAGGAATAAAATCCAAAGGGCCCTGAGTAACTGGGGAAACGTCCAGTTCACCTTTGAGATTTTGTTGAAGGTTTTTTTGCCCCATTCATCTCCAAGATTTTAGGGGAGATGGCAAGAGTGTGAAGGTTTCTGTCACCCCTTTTCTAAGGCAGCATTCTCCATCCCAGGAAACCGTCCAGCCTCCAAGGCTCAAAGTGGTTAAGCAAGCAATTCACAAATGATCTCATTCTGGAAGGGAAAGGTCATTCTTTTGTCCCAAAGCACTGAAATCTCCACCTGCCATCGTGGCAAGGGTCCTGGCCACTGGGCGGGGCACCTGCTGGGTGGGGAGGCGCAGAGAAGGCCAGCTGGCACTGAGTGCCCATGGCTGAAGTCAGCATGACCTGACACCCTGTGGCTTCCTCCTCAGCAAGACCACAGGATGCACCTCTGCTCCTGCCCTGCAGCAGGTTCCAGGGCCACAGGCATCTGCCACCTGGCCTGGCAAGTGGTGCCGAGCAAGGGCACATAATGGGATTGTGCTCATTGCTCACAACCTAATGGGACTCCAAACCTGCCACGCATCTGGGTCACCTGGTCTGGCCAGAGTGGGGGACTCAGGTTTGGGGAGGGCTGTACCCTGGATGTACGCATCCTTTTAGCCCTGGCTTTGTCTTGAGGCCCTGAAACTTAGTGTGCACCATAAGCTCTGGAAACCAGGTGTCATGCTAACTCCCAAGCTCTAGATGCCCAGAGTCTGTCTCAACAGAGCCAGGCCAGCGCCCAGGAACTTGCATTTTTAATAAGCACCTTTATCTAACTCATGTTCGGGTTGTTCAGGAGGTAATGTGAGGAGCAGACTTTCAATGCACTTTCCCAGCCCTCCTTTGAGAAGTGAGAAGATGGGTAGCATGACAACTTTCTTTCTTTCTTTCTTTCTTTCTTTCTTTCTTTCTTTCTTTCTTTCTTTCTTTGTTGTTGTTGTTTTGAGACAGGGTCTCACTATGCAGTCTAGGCTGGCCTCCAACTCATGGTGATCCTCCTGCCTCAGCCTCCTGAGTTCTGGGATTTATAGCCACATACCACCACACATGGCAGCATGGTGACTGTAGACTCATATTCTGTATTGTCTACCAGCTGTCCTGGAGTAGGCCGATTACTTACCTTCAGTTTCCATGTGTGTAAAATGAGCATAAGAGAATCTACCTTATTAAAGTTTAGGTCAATGGTGAACATAAAGGCTTGAGTGTGGGCCTGACACCTAGTAAGCCCTCAATGAATGGAAGTGTATTTTTTCCTACAGGACTTGCCCTGTCATGGGTGGGGGAGCTTTAAGCCTTTGGGTGTATATTGGTCTCACTGAATTACTTAAAATGCATTGTTGCCACTGCTTTGTCATTTGCCACAGCAAGTATTTTGGCAAATGGGGTTTGAGAACTGGAGACACCCTGATTCCAGTCCTTGTTACATCTGCTTCTGCTGCACCTCTTCCTGCCACATCCCTTTCTTGGCTGCAACACAGAAACCTCCCGAAGTGACCTTCACCCTGTTCCTCTGTTCCTCCCTTCTCTGAGTCAGCAGCCATGGCTCATATCTCTCCTTTGGGTTGGAGAAGGCAAGGATAAAGGGCTGTTGCCTAGCTAGGAAAGGGCAATAAACTGCGGGTCATATCCCTGTCCCTCCCAGCATAAAAAAAGGCACCAGGCCCAGGCGGCTGTGTGGGTGGAAAGCAGAGTCACTGAGAGGCTCACACTTGGACCTCTAGGAGTGGCTGAGCCTCCTAGCGATCCTGAAGAAGCTGTGTTTCTGAATAATCCCCAAAGCTTCCTGAACTATCCTGAAGGAGCCAGCATTCCCATGTCATGCACCCACAGGTCACATTTTCAAAGAGCAGGTCACCACAGTCCAGTGAAGGGAGTGGAAAGAAACAAGAACATGTGTCTGCCAAAATCTGGACACACACACACACACGCACGCACACACTCACACACACCTCTTTCCCGGGGGTCCCTCTGCCTGGCATACATGTGGGCTGCTCAGTTTCTGGCCGGGTGGTACAAGCTGTGTTCCCACCTCACACAGGTTCCCTGGTGGTGGTAAGGAGGATGTGTTCATCACTTCTGCTGCCCCTCTAGTCCCTAAAAACTCTTTACTTTCCCCACCAAATACTCTGGGGGCTTCATTTTATTCTTCTGAGTTATTTGCTTTGAGGTTCCTGCCTGTTTTCAGATCTTTTCACCAATTCATAGAGATTAGAGTGGAAGTAGTCTTAAAGACAAGGATAGCAAGTGAAACCTGCTATGTGTGAGGCCTCCTGCCTGTGTTTTAAGAAGGCACGGTCTGCGTGATCTCACTGAATCCCAGCCGCAGCACGGAGAGCTGGGATCTGAAGCCATCCACATTCTGTAGAGGGGACACTGAGGCCAGAGAAGTTGAACAACTTGCCCAAGTTCCCACAGCTAGTGAGCAGTGGGGCCCAGGGCTGATTCACCCGTCAGACACGGTAGGCCTAGTGCCTAGGGCCCTCGATAATTTTAGGGGTTACAGAAATGATAAACTATTAGTTGAAGAAAAATCTCAATATACAATATGAATATGTTTTCTTTATAACAGCATAATTAAAAATATAATTTTTAACATTTTTTGATGGAGAAAGGAACTTGTGAAAAGTATTTATGGCCCACAAAAACCATAGTGGATGGTGGTAAAGACAGAACTCAAATCCTGGTCTGTCTGCTCCAAAGTTCGCATTCATCTATTCTAGCCCTATTTTACTAGTGAGGAAACCAAAGGCCGACGCCACACGATGAAGAGGTTGCAGAACTCCGGAATGATTTCCAGGGGGTCAACTGCCCTGGCATGTGGTCTGGTAGCACCACCTGGTGGCCTTTCAGGGAACCTCCGTTCGGTCAAGGGAAACCCAGAAGACTCAGGTCCCAGGTACCTGCAGGAAGTACCCAGGAGCCCACCTGCCCTTGGGCTCCATATTTAGCAATGGGCACACAGGCCAGGGAGCTCCCTTCGCTGTCATGGTGATTCACACGTGCATACACGTGCGCGCGCGCGCACACACACACACACACACACACACACATCACACACCTCTCTTCCAGAGTAGCATTTAACTCCAGAGTTAATACTGATAAAGTCTTTAGATTGGCCCTGTCCAGCGCAAACGCACTGTGAGCCAATGGGTAATTTGAAGTCTAGCAGCCACAGTTTCTAATAGTTTAAAAAAAGTGAGGTTAATTTTAATATTTTTATAAATTTAACCCACGGATTGGCAAACTGTAGCCTGAGGATCAAATTCCCATCTGTTTTTTTAAATAAAATTTTATTGGAACACAGCCTACTTGGTTTTGCCCTGTCTGTGGCTGCTTTTGCACTGTAACAACACAAATGAATAGTGTGATGCAGACCAGATGGACCACAAAGCTGGAAATATTCACTATCTAGTCCTTTACGGAGAAAGTTTGTCAACCTGATTTAATATCATCTATCCAAATGTAGTCATTTCAACATGTAATTTGATTTAAAATTTATTAATAAGATATCTACAGCCCAGCACATGCCTGTAATCCCAGAATTCTGGGGAGCTGAGGCAGGGGGATCTTGAGTTCAAGAACAGCCTGAATGGTCAGGGATTTAGCTCAGTGGCTCCGGCGCCTTCCTCACAAGCGCAAGGTCCTGAGTTCGATCCCCAGTACCAAAAAAAAAAAAAAAAAAAAGAACAGCTTGAGTAACCTGGTGATTTAGACCTTGTCTCAAAATATAACATAAAACTGGGGGTGTAGTTCAGTGTGAAAGTGCAGGGCTCCATCCCCAGTATCACAAAACATAAAAATAAATGTGCATTTTTATGTCATACTAAATCTTTGAAATTCAGTATTTCTTTCACATTCAGAGCACATTCAGTGTGGGGTATGGTACATTTTAAGTGCTTCATGAAACATGTGGCTTGTGTCTGTTGAATTGAAGAGCATGACCTTAGAAAAATGCTTGCAAATAGCATTCCAGTGTTCCTCATTAAATACATACATAAATAAGTCCCCCATAAGATTGAACCCAGGAGCCTGCCTCACAAGCACAAGATCCTGAGTTTGATCCCCGATAACAAAAAAAGCCAAAACATTTAACCGAGTAGCTCACACATGCTAGGCAAGGGCTCTCCCCAGCACTTTTTTTTTTTTTTGAGACTAGGTCTTTGTAAGTTGCCCAGCCAGGCCTTGAATTTGTGATCCTTCTACGTCTCCATCCCAAGCGGCTGAGGTTGCATGAGTGTGCCACAGTGCCTGGCTCCACCAGCCCTTCTTAACTGGCTTGCCAAAGAGAATTAAGGCCCCAGGGCAGCCTCGGAACACATCAGGCATCGTGCAGAGATGGGCTAGCTGTTTGGAATCCTCTCTTCTTCCTGAGCACAGGGTTATAGGGCACAATTCAGCCTCCGCCCACCTAGAGATCACGTGACTGTTCTCACCAATAGAGTATGAGAGGAAGTGACATGTGTCAACTCCAGGCAAAGGCAGTTAACAGTGGGTGTGTTGTCTTCATGCTTCCTGTCTCTCTTCCCTTGTTCTCAGGTTGGTAGAGGACTCTGGGAAAAACTCTGAGACCTTAGGTCATGACACAGCCATCGAACAGGGGTCCCGGACAGCAGCAGGTAGAAGGTTGTGCACTGAATACCAGTGGGACTGTGGTGGAGGAAGTACATCTTTATTGGCATAAACAACTAGGTTTTAGGGATTGTTTGTCATAGCAGAGAGGTAACCTGACTAATAGGCTCTTAGGGGTGACCAAGAAGTAGTGAGTAAAAATGAAATGACTTTTTCCACAAACTGTGGGATACACTGGGACCACACAACTCAGCTGTGGACCCTTCAACAGAATCTAGAAAACTGGAAAGCAGTTTTCACTGCCCTTAGCACTCGAGGACTTAGCGAGCCCTCTGCCTGGTCTGCTGACGTAACACTGGGAGCTCCATTGTCTCCCCCGGTAAGGAGTGCCCACCCCACTCCTTGCTGCTGACAGTAGGGTGGGGACAGCTCTGCTAGGAGTGGAGGTCCATGAGTACAGCAGAGGCCCGGGCTGGGTCCAGCGCACCCCAGAGGTAGGCCTGTGTTAGCGGCTCCCTGGTGCTGATCTGTGCTCAGCCAAGGAGGCCGGGGTGGCTGGCACCGTGTCCCTGCAGTTGATCGTGAGGAAAGGAAGGGAGCAGCCGAGGGCCCTTCCCCTTCCCCGGAGTTCACATGAGCTCGTCCGTTCGCCGTGGAACATGGAAGATGTCACTTTTGATGTAAAATGTCTTTGTGATGGGCTGGACTCTGGCATAAGTTGGCATCCTGGAGTCCTTCGTGGCATCCCCTGGAACACGGCAGAGGCTTGGGTGAGCAAAGGGCTCGGGGTCAGCAGGGACTTCTGTCACTTAGGGACAGCTGCTGCCCTCCTATGCCCCGACCCCTATCTTAGGAGCCCCACACCTCCCTGTGATCTAACAGCTGTAGCCTAATGCCTGGCATGGCACAGGAACCTCGAGAGCTTAAACTGGTACACGACCAGGATCCGCCCCAATGGGCAACACTCCTGTCATTCCAGTTAACTGTCCAGATCCCCACCACACTCCAAGCTCAGACCTCTCACCACATCTCTCCCAACCACCCCCGTGTTCCACAGTAAGACCCCCAGAGTCTGCCCTAGGCTGAGCTAGCACCCCACTTGCCTGTAGGCTGCAGTTCCTGCCTGTGAAACCACTAACAACAACACCAGCTACCATTTGTTGAGCACTGTGTGTCAGGCTTTACCTGTATATTCGGCATGACCAAAATATACAGTGAACATCAAAACTTTTAATCAATGTATTACAGTAAAAGACACACTGCCATTAATTCCCCCTGACCATACTCCCCTTTACTTCAAACGCACTTATTCCATCACTTTCTGTCACTTTCTGAAGCAGTTCTAGAAGTCTGCTTTTGTGTCTTTACGAGATAGGACCAAAAATATAGTGTATGCTGGTGCCAGGTGCCATCCAAAGGAAAGGCAGGCCTGTGGAAACATCAGTGCGTCCTCATCCACCATATTCACCAGACCCGGCACTGTGTGACTCCTGGCTCCTCCCCAAAGTAAAATGACCGTGAAAGGCAACACTGAGGCAGCCACGGCAGCTCAAATAAGGACACTGAGGAGAGAGGACTTCTGTGACTGCTTCAGAAAGTGACATGAACACTTGTGTGTGAAGCGAGGTGCAGTATTTTGAGGGGTGTTACTGGCAATGTGTCTTTTACTATAGTGATTCTTTTTAAAGTTGAGCATTCACTGTACTTTTCAATCATACCTCACACAAGGGCGATTTGAGCTGCCCCAGCTGGAGCGGAGACAGTGCCTTGAACCCTTCTTCCTTGTGTCTTTTGCGCCCATTGGGACGATGCAGCCCCACCTATAACCATGCTGGGAAGGACAGAAGTGGCCAGCAGGTCTGTCATCCTTTCCCCAGCTGAGCCCCGCACTGGGTTTGGGTTGGAGGTGTGAAGCCAGAGGCTCACAGAACTTTCCAGGGACTCCAGGAGCCACCACAATGGAAGAAAATAGTCTCCATGAGTCTTCCTAGGACCTGCCCTGGTACCCAGGGGGCGCCCAGAACCAGCCCCTGGTGTGGGATTGGCCCTCTGATGATTCAGTTGCTGTGGAAAATACAGGATGCCCAGTCACCTCTGGATTTCAGATAAACACAAATAATTGTTAGGATATGTTCCATGAAATATGTGAGATATCCTTGCCCTAAAAAACGTTATCTGAGACCAGGGGTGGTGGAGCATGCCTGTAGTCCCAGCACTCGGGAGGCTGAGGCAGGAGGATTGCCTTGAGTTGCAGTGAACATGGACCCATGGGCTAGGGCAGAAGAGGGGCAAAGCGTGGCATCTAAACTGAGACTCCTTTATGGACCCAAGAGCCCTGTGCAGGCTGTGCTGCCCGGGACTCTGCCCACTGTTCCCAGTAGCCTTCCTTCATGGTCCGTCACCAGGGCAGCCCCTCAGTCATGACCCCTTTATCCTGATTTATCTCCCTTCACAGCCTTGACCCTCAAAATAGGATCCATGGCCTGGCAGGTCAGCAGCAGCTGGCACTTGTTAGGAATGCAGGATCTTCTGCCCATCACCCCCGGAAGCCACCTGCCTTTCACCAAGCCCACTGATTGCTGCACACAGTAAAGACTGAAAACTGGACCACTGCCTAACACTATATCCTACATCTGTTTGTTGTCTGCCTCTGAGGGCAGAGACCATGTCTGTTTTGTTCTCTGGTGTATCCCCAAGGACAGAAAAGTACCTGGCACATATCAGCTGCTCAATAAATGTTTGTTGAGTGAATGTATGAACCAGAATTCAAACCCAGGTCTCCTAATTTAAAATCGAGGTACTCTCGTGAGCTTGTTGGGATTCTGTAACTCGAGCTCCCCCTACAGGGCACGTTAAATGAAGGTGCAAATGTTCACTCCCCCACCCCACCTCTACTGTGAGGCTAATTTCTGCTCTGGTTGCTTTCCCACTTGATTTACTCCAAATCTCTAACATAAGAAGGCAAGTACTGATTACTCTCATTTTTCAGATGAGGGAACTGAGGGCCAGAGAAGTTAAGGTTCTTGCCTGAGATCACATAATTTGGAAGTAGTAGAACCAATACCTGGACTCAGATCCCCTGATTCCAAACCAAGTTCTCATTCTCCAGGCCCTGTTCGTGAATCTCTGCACTTGTCTGTCTGCTCATTCCATGGTCATGAGCACCAGCCCCAAGCTGGGAGCTGATGCAGCATTAAAAAGGTAAACTAAGAAGGCCTGGCACCCCAAGGCCTCCCAGTCCAGACAGACAAGCGCAGAATGGTGACTCAGTGGGCCCAGGCTCCGAAAGAGCTAGTGAGCACAGAGGTGGGCTCAACAATCTCCCAGGGCGACTCCCAGAGGTGACAAGAAATTCAGCCTGGCAGAGGGAGGGCCGGGGATAGGATGCCCAGAGGACCAGGCAAGCACAGGCCCCGTGGGAAGGCTCCTGCCCTCTGGGGCACAGGGAGCCCATTCAGTGTGCCAAGACAGAGGGCTGGTGAAGGAGGAGGCTGGCTACCGCCTGCCCAAGGCCTAGGATGGCCTTACCCACGTGCCAGCCGTACTCCCAAGATGACACGATTGGTACTGGAACTTCTCCTTCGGGGTATGGTGATGCCGCTCCCAGAGGTACCCGGCCCAGCCTT